CCTTTGCTATCTTCACCAAAAGTCCTATCTTTGAAGCTTCTTCTATCGCCAACTTGTTGCTTTTCACTTGCATATCTTCCAGTTTGTGAGAAATCAGACATATATCATAGGCGAAATCCAGATCCTCCAGATATTTTAATCCAATGGGATTACAGGTCATGCTGGCTGGGTCCATCAAGTTCAATAAGAGGACAGTTACTCGCCTCTGATATTGGCTGATGGTCACGCTATATATGTCGTGAAGTGTGGGAATATAGAATTCATTGGCTACTGGATAGGGTTCCAGTGGCTGAATGATATACAAGCTCGCATAGTAACCGGAATTTCTCAGGTTAAACCCCACTGAGGAGTTCAAAATTGAGACGAAACAACTGTCCAGTACTCCCTGGTAGGTCTCTAACTGATGTCAGCTTAAGTCAGCAAACCTGTAATCAGCAAAATCAAGCAAGGAGTCCTGGTCCTCCTGGCCCACTCATTGCATCACTCCCACCTTAAGGAAACTTCAAGAAAGATATCTCATGGACATCTTCCAAATATTAGACAGAGGAAACACCAAGAATGCTAGAAAAGCTAATATTCCAGTGAATCATCAATCAAAAGACACATCGACACAGACAAAATTTACCAACCGATAAGAATGAAACCTCACACACACAAAGGGTCAAAGTTCAAGTCAGCGAAACAATCAGTTCCAATACAAGTAGACTAGAGGATGTGAACACACCAAAACAACCAATCACGTTCAAGGTCACCCACCAAGAGAGATGATTAATAAACTCGTGGAGAAATCTAAAAGCTCACTCCATCGAATTGAAATATGCGCTGAAGGAAGATGTTGCCTAGTAAGCACGGCGATGAAAGCTTCGCAAATTAATTGTCCTACTCAGAGAACACAGCCACATCCAAAAAATATTATAAGTGTCATGGCGAGATAAAGCATCGGGGTGACAAGGTAGCTGAAGTGAAAGTATATACATATATATATCGCGTTAGAGAGAAGTTTCTAGAAAAAAAAATGACAAGTGTGTTGTTAGGCTGGTAACAAAAAATTACTAACAGTTACGTGGTTAAATAAGAAAAGATCAAAATTTAGTGTGCAAGAGGTCAGATATTATTATTACTGTTTCCTTTAATTCCTACAGGAACATAGGGCTTCAGCCGTGCGTCTCCACTGCGTTCGGTTCTCAGCTAGGGTTTTTACCTGGCTCCAAGTCTGCCCACACGTTTTCATCTCCTCTTCACATGACCTCATCCAAGTCACCCTCACACTGACGACCAACTCGCCGCTTCCCTTTCGGGTTCCACTCGAGCAATGGCTTGTCTAGTGATGTCACTTGATGGTTTCCTAAGAGTATGGCCAATCCACCTCCATTTCTTCCTGCCTATTTGTTTCACAATCGGTTCCTGGTTGGTTCGCAGCCTTGTCTTACTCCTGTCCTTACTTCGAAGGGTTCCGTAAGTTTCCCGTTGTGGATTACTTAGCATGCAGCATTGTCGTACAGCTGTTGGATGAGATGTATAACTGTCGGTTGCACCCCGTAGTAGCGAAGTGGTTGCCAAAGAACTTCTCGATCGACGCTGTCGAATGCCCTTTCAAAGTCGATGAAGTTGAGATAGAGAGGTGACTGCCATTCCAAGCTTTGTTCAATGATGATCCGGAATGTGGCGTTCTGATCAATACATGACTTGTTTCTCCTGAATCCGGTCTGTTCCGGTCGAAGTTTGTCATCCAGGGCTTGTTTGATTTTTCTCCAGGATGATGCCGCTTAGTATTTGGAAAGATGATTATGTAATATGTTGGACAAAACTCATAAGGTCAAGAAACATTACCTCTTATATAAGTCAAACGGAAAAAAACAGAGTTAGGGGTTGAAAAGATAAGTAAATGAAATTAGAAAACAAAGAGTTATCAAAGGATGAGTCACCAAAGTAATTGAAGTTCAACGACAGATTCATTTCGGACATATATGTCAGATTTCAGCCGTTTTATTGAGTTAGCCTCAACAAATCAAAGATGGCTTGTGTTGTTATGTCTGTTAATTATTTTGGATGATGCCAGGGCGTCTACTCAGTGTCCAGCATCTATCAGGCATTTGCTAGTTGAAGAGCTTTAACTGCTTCCTCCCCTTAACTGGAATCTCCTTGTTGCATGTTCAAAGAATCTAACGTAGGCCCTTCTTTCTATTCTTCCAATGTAACTGCTTCTACAGATACATATGCATTGGTATATACATTTGAAGGTAACACATGAGGGGTACTTGCCCACCTTCGACTGTACCAACGAGGAAGGTGTTTGGAGTAGAGAGATTAGTTTTGTTGCAGGTTACGTCCTAGACAGGCCTCATAGGATCTCAGGGCTCTCATAGAATCACCGCCTTAATTTTACAAAATACTTCTCTCTAACAGGATAATATATACATATACTTACGCCAAAGGAAGGACTGCACACATCACACTCGTTACTAGTGTCCAACCAAATTATCCAATACATTCCTACAGGAGGTCAATCGCGGGCCAGTCCGAATAGCTCAGTGGTAACGTCTCTCTGTGACTGCACGTAGCACTAGGTGACGCGGGTTCGAATCTCCCCAGAAGGCATATGAATTCCTTCAAGGCAATTGCAGATACACCTTGCTGACTGGTGAGTGCCGTCTAGCACGAAACCTAGGTCTAGTCAAGGCTTCCTGTGGCCGATTGCCTCCAACCATCTAATATCATCAAATCAATGTGCACCATGATGGTGAGCTACCTAGAATGGTGGCCGCATTGCAAACCTGACTGATAGAATTCAGTCTGCACCAAAGAAAGGACTAGACACATCACACTAGTTACTAGTGTCCAATCAAAGTATGCTTACAATTCAGCTACCTTGTCATCCTGACGCTTATCTCACCATGACACTCTTGTAATGTGTTTATTGATAATAATAATAATAATTTGCTTTATTCCAAAACAGTACTTGTGATACAGAATGGAATTCTCAGCATTTTTAATACAGTATTGCATCCAGTTAGTACATTATCAATAAATAAAATTCTACATAGATTATTGGTAATCTCAGTTCATTATGACAACAACATATTGGCGTGTCGGTAGCAAAGCCAAAGTTGAACAGTGTTTGAAGGTGTTAGAAAAGTAGGTGCTATCATATTTACTGGCGTAAGCGGAAGAAAGAAACAAAGCAGCACATAACGGAAAAGAGAGAGAAAAGGAAAAGAAAGAAAGAAAATGTTGTACCTATAAATGATATTGTAACGAAAGAAGACAAGGGCCAGGCAACAGATCATTTATTAAGGAAATCAACGCATATTTATATATTTGCATGTACATTACTATGGATATTTAAGCAAACAAACACAGTCTTCCGATTGGTTGTTTCTCACGTAAAGTTAATCTTTCATCTATTTGTGACTGTTTCTTGAATGTCAAATCCTCTATCTGTTAACTGCATCCGCCTACGCAAAGTCTGCTGTGGTCGGTTTTGAATCAATCTTTGTTCACATTTTCTCACAACAAATCTTAGGAACGTAAATATTGACGTAAATGACTGTCTACCAATTTGGCTAGTAGACAGCTCTCACTACAATATGAGTTTGAAAGACGAGGTCCAGTTATTCTACTGACTATTTAATGAATTATAGGTATCACGCCTAATGCTTTCTTTATAGCACAGAACACGAGCTAAGTAGGGTAGGGTTGAGCTTTTGTACTTGCTGGTGCGAGTATATAGTTTTCTATATAGGCTTCTGCTTTTGCCTGAAGAGATGCAAGGGGAGAGTTGTGAATGAAGAGGGTGGTGTGAGTTAGATAAAATGGATTTAGCCCATTTTTCACACGAGTCCAAGGACCTGTCAACCAGAATATTGACAAGCTGGTTAAGTGGCTTACCCTGCTGACAACCTTTAACATCTTGCGTAATAAGGTATAGTCTTTCTTCAGTAGCCCGTGAAAAACTAAGGGGGAACAATAGAGAATAATAGGCAGAAAGCGAGAGTTAACGAATTGTAGGAGTAAGGGTTGGGTTATACCAGAATGTTTTAACTTGATGATGTAGAAGGTAATACGGAATATTTTCTTAGAAATCGTCAAGATATGAGACGACCAGGAAAGATCAGCAGATAGAATGACGCCTAGGTATTTAATTTCCAACTTGGTTTCTATTCCAGTACCATCTATGTTGCATACCTCGTGAGAGCCAACCAGTTTGTTTAGGTCAGATTTATGCCTCAAGGTGAAATTGACTGTTTGGCATTTGGAGGGTTTTAGAGCAGTCACTCTGACGTTTGACAGGCAAAGATACTGTCAGGTCGTCAGCATATTTGACAAAATTAATGTCATTTGAAGATGGTAGGTCATGCAGAAAGAAAGAAAAGAGAAGTGGGGAGAGTGCAGCACCTTGGGGGACACCAGCTTCAGTGAGCACAGCAGAGGAGGATGTACTGCATTTTGTTAGAGAAGTAGGAATGCAACCAGTTAGTGACCCAGGACTCAGATTTTGTCATAGAGAGCTTATTTAGCAGGAGAAATCTAGGTACAGAGTCGAAAGCAGAAGTGAAGTCGAGAAACGTGCAGCGGACGTATTTGGCACCTTTATCTAACGATGAGACGATGTTGTTGTAAGACGGCTGCAGCGTCTAAAGTGCTCCTACCCTGCCTTTGGGCAGTTGTTTGGGGTCTTCAAAGCTTTTAAGGGTGGGTCCAAGTTTAAGTATGTTCAGTTTCACACTGACTTTGATTTATTAAAGATTATAGGTTGTTGTATGCAGCTGATGAGAACCAACGGGATAAAATGGATCCATGTTATTCTGTACCAAGTATCGAAATGTCTTTTTATTATAATATCATGTAATCTTAGTCAGCAATTCAAAAATATATGCCAATCAATAATAATGAAAAAATCAATAAATTTCGAATTATATTAGCATGCTTTATACTCTTTCTTATACTGTAACATTAAACATCTAATATGCACTAGATATAATTTAATAGTGATAACAATAATGTCAAAATTATTAGTGACACTATTTCTCCGGTTATATTTACTAAATTTAGTATATTGTTCAACGACCGAAGTGACATTAAGCCAATTTGTTGATGTTTTATTAAAAATACGCGATGAAGATAGAATAATGATACCGTATAATGAAAGTATATTTCATCCTTATAATGGACCATATTTTTTACCATTATGGAAATTAAATGCACCATATAAATATTATTCACAATATGGTTTCCCTGATCCACAGAAAACACTTTCACCAGTGTTGAATATTGAATTTCAAAAGAATGATGTACTAAATATTGAAGTAAGTGAGGTTTTTTTGTTTTAATTTGTGAATTACGTTAATTAATTAATGATTCATATGAATAAGGCATTTAGAAGACAAATTTCGCGAGGTGATATGGTCATGTGAAGAGGAGATGAAAGCGTGTGGGCGGACTTGGAGCCAGGTGAAAACTCTAGCAGAGAACCAAACGCAATGGAGACGCACAGCTGAAGCCCTATGTTCCTCTAGGAATTAAAGGAAACAATAATAATAAATAATACGTATATATGTGTATATGTAGACAATTCAATAAATAAATAAATTAGGTCAAATCTTAAAAGGTGAAGTGGAACGATAACCATAGTTTAAATAGATATCATAAAAATACGAAAGAAATGGAAAATTAGAAAGGGTGGGAGGGTTTTGAATAGAATTCACCTAGGCGAAACAAGGGAGAGACAAAGTTAGAACAAACTTCTTTTGTTGTGTGAAAAGAATAGGATTGTTCTCTCGAATTCCCATAGTGCAACTGCGTTACAACGGGCATTTGACTCGAATCAAGTAGAACAGAAGCTTCAGCTAAAGTGGATGAAACTCATTGAACTTTTCAAGGTTGATGGTGCGGTCGCATTCCACTGCCATTTAGTGGTGCTTAAAGTTTAACTTGGTCGATTTATGCTTCATTGATATAAGAATAAAACTTGGGCACTGTGGTAGAGTGTAATTCCATTATGGGTAAATTTTATTTTGATAAAGTCTCACAGTGTTATACAGTAATTTACTCGAATTATGCTTGTTATTTTTCTTCGTGGTCATTGGAAACTGTACAGATAGCGGTCCAAACAAATGACCTTGAACACCCAGTCATTTTCCTCCATTCCACTATGCACTCTATGTATGAATTATACCATCGCTACAGGATTTCATCATGGGTATCTGCAACTGCCTTGAAGGAACTCATGTCGTTTCTGAGATTCGAACCCGCGTCACACAGTGCTGTCTGCAGTCAAAGAGAGAGACGTTACCACTGAACTATTCGGGCTCATGATTGACCTCCTGTAAGACTGTACTGGATACTTTTGATTGGATACTAGTAACGAGTGTGATGTGTCTGTAACGGGAGGACTATTTAGAAAATCCCTCCTGAAAAATACAATTACAATATTGATAGTTATTTGAATGTTTCAACTAACTTTGTAGTTATTTTCCGTTTCTCTTCCGGAGTGTACATCAAAGTTCTGAAATTTTCATATCTTAAGTTGTTTTCATCCTTATTATTTGTATCTGTCCATGTTTAATCTCTAATTTTAGTGCTTCGCTTTGTGTTCTTGGAATACTCTGATAATGTGTCTTCCAATGACTGTAATTTTGTTTCAGTGAATCAAGGCCACTTATGTAACTACGGAAGACAAAGGTCAGAAAACAGATCGTTTATTAAGGAAAATCAACGCATATTTATAGATTTCAATGTACAGTCTTTTGATTGGTTGTTTTTCACAGAAAGTTAACCTTGCATCTCTTTGTAGCTATGTCAGATCATCCATACACTAACTGTGTCCGCCTACGTAAAGCCTCTGTTCTCATTTTCTCACCACCAATATTGGGGACATAAACATTGACGTCACTTACTGTCTACCAACTTTGGCTAGCAGCCAGCTCTCACCACACTTGGACCGTCTGTGGGAATTATTTGGTGTATGATTCTTGTGGAGAGAGTATTGATTCCACCATTGATGGGAACATTCTACTTGATTCGTGGATATTTCTTACGATTAAGTTTTATTTAAATACTTTTGTTCTAAAGTACTTGTTTTGTACTGGAGAATTCTCTGCTCTGAATAGCTGCTTAACGGTTTAACGGAAATGAAAGGAATGCCACATAAACCTGTTTTGGTCTCCGAAAGGCTTGAGAATGCATCTTCTAATGCTGCTATGCTGCTATCTTTTAGATCGACTGCAAAGGCATCACTCGATGTGAAAAGCCGCAGTCTATGACATGTGTGGTGAGAGCTGTCTGCTAGCCAAAATTGGTAGACAGCAATTTACGTCACTGTTTACCTCCCAAATATTGGTCATGAAAAAAAACCAGAACAAAGCCTAACCTTGAGGGATTCAACAACCAATCACAGCAGACTTTGCGTGGGTGGATACGATTAGCAGATATATGCTATGACCTTCAAAGAAATGGCCACAAAGAGATGACAGAATAACTTTCAGCGAAGAAACAACCAATCAGAAGACGGCGTTTCTCTGCTAATAATAACGAATAATAATATACATAGAAATCTATAAATATCTGTTTACTTTCTCAATAAACGATCTGTTGCCTTGCCCTTGTCTTCTAGCGTTACACTTATACTTACATGCTAATTATAGTGATTCAGTAAATAATGCCCGAAAAAGTAGGCTTACGATTAAGGATATAGGAAAACCAAAATGTGGCAGATATTAGTGTGAGCAAGAAAATATTCTGAAACTGACTACTTAAAAATCAAAGTTTACTGGTCTATAGTTCACTGTATTTACTTGAATATTCATTCACCTTTAAGTAGGTTAAATACACTGGATTAGCTAGTTTAAGTATATTTTCGTGATGACACACACAAAAGGTTTGGATGTGCATAGTCACACTTGATTACATCATAATCAACAGTGTTCCAAAAAGAAATATTTCATAGGGAAGCAATTTTGCATTGCTGAAAAAAAGTTTATACTTACCGATCTCATGTTACTGATACTGATATCTTCAAACTTTCCACCTGCTATATCTAGACCAGTCGTCCCTACAGTAGTTGCGACAGCAGCACGTGCTGTACCCAAGTCTGTTGAACTTATCTTTCCATGCATTTCAGTGCCAGTACCTCCTGACAAATGAAGCTTGTTTTCTGAAGTCATAGTCATTCGAACCGATGCTAATTCACTATTACATCAATAGAATTTTCCGCTTTAGATCACACTGAAATGACATGTACATGATAGCAAACAATTACGGTCAAAAATAGGAACATTCTCATAGCCTACAGTTCCAGCAGCTACTTCTCATAGCCATAAAGAAGAAGAAGCTGCCTACTAGTACATACCTCCTTCAATTGAGAACTGAATATCATGTCTGCAACTGAGATGACAAAACTGGTGAATCTCAGATGAGTTTGTGTGTCCTTGTATGCGTGTGTCGAAACCGTCCAACAGTCAACACACTGAAATCATGAAGTGGCAGAAGTTGGAATTCACAGTCCATTGGATTGGGTCCTAGGTCCTGAGTTCGAACCCTGGTGGGGAGGTAGATAAGTACTGCTCAAGAATCCCAACTTAAGTGGACAGTACAACTGTCCAGTACTCTCAGCTGGTTTTCCAATAGTATTCTGACAGATGTCAGTTCATGATGAAATCCTGAAACACTGAAAAATATTTCTTTCATTATCTTTAAAGTAGGTGTTGGTGTGAACCAGTCCCCTTCAACATCCCTTTTTTACATTTGAGAATATCGAGTTGCATCCTAAACATACTAAGATTTTTACAATCAAGGTGATCAGAAGATTTCATACATTTATTTTCATTTATGAATTTGAATAAAGCAAGAAAAATAACGGTTTGTGCAGAATAACACGGTCCCATCATTGTTTATTTCGTTGGCTTCTCATCAACTGCTTACAGTCGAAAGACATTATGAAGTTTATATACAGAAATAATTTTAACATACTTACTTACACAGAGAGTTAATTTTGAATCAAAAAAATCAACCAATTTACCAAAAAATCTCCAGCGTGGAACAAATGCTTTCAACAGTGCCATTTCCAGGCATCTCCTTGACATAAGTCATGAGGTGGACGTCGCAAGATCGTTCAAAATTGTCGATAGGCAAAAGAGTTCAATTCTCATCAAGTTTACCGAACCAACCTCCATCAAGTGCCTGAAACCCGATATATGTGTTGAAAAAGAAGCAGTTCTCAGTCTTTCCTTGCCCATCCTGGCAAGTGGATGTCTTTATTCTCTCTTTCATTTGATTACACGACGCCGAAAATTCCAATCTTTATGATTATTATTGTTTGGGTAAAGTGAAGTGGATCTACAGGTTCTATCGCTTGGCCATAAATTTTGTGATAGCCATGTTAAAATTAACAAAATGGATGCACAAATTCAGTTCGAAAGTCTCTACACTCAAACAGAAGGCCTAACACCCTCATCGATTGAAGATGTTGAAAGACTTAAATCAACACTGGTCGATTGTTGCTATTATTACATGAATAGTAAGCACAATTCGGATAGTATTTTGACCAAAAAACGTAAAGAAGCTCTGGATGCTCACCGCGAAAATGATAAGAATAATTATAACAAGACCGGATAAGGGCTCAGGAGTGGTTATCATGAACAAAATGGATTACTTTGAGAAGATAATATTCCTAATGTTAATCCAAGATTCAAAAAAATCTCCTCTCCTCTGGATCCGACTGAAAAGATAGAGATACAGTTACCGGAGACATTAAGAAGACTGAATCAACAAGGCTTTATCTCACTGTTGGTCGATATATGCCCAATCCATTTCCATTTTCTGCCACATATTTGTTAAGCGATCGGCTCTTGGTTGGTTTGTCACCTCCTAGAGTTTCTTCTTGCCAATTCTTTCCGGTCTGCCCGCTGTCCATTTGATCTTCAGTATGGAGCCAGTCAGCGATGAGGGCAGCTGTTGATAAACGTCTATAGTGGCTTGTTGGAAATCCTTTTCGAGACGCACACGCAGTGCAAGTTCCTGACCCATATTAGGAAAATTGACTGACTAACTAAATTCACATTGGTGTTGAAAATTAGAATCTGTACATAAACTTAATAATGTCTTCGAGTTGTAAGCAGTTGATGAGAAGCCAACGAAATAAACAAAAGATGCTACCCATTTTACTCTAGACAAACCACGGTTGTTCTTGCTTTATTCAAAATAATCAGAAGACTGCATTTTTTGGCCAACATTTTCATTTTATTGGTTACAGGATTTCATCATGAGATAACATCGGTTAGAGGAACATTGGAAAACCTTCCAAGGAGTACTGGACAGTTTTCCGTCCAAAATTTAACTCTTCGCCAGTACGCACTCACTGCCAGGGTTCGGACCCAGGACCTTCTGGTTCCAAGGATAGCGAGCTCATAGACCATCAAGCCACTGGAATTCGATCCAATTGCACATGAATTCCAACTTTTGCGAATTCATGACATAGCGTGACTAGCACAATCCAATGTCTTCGGCGAGTATTTGTCGCTGTACCCTACTGGTCACAAATTCTCCCTAGAACCCAAGTAACTGCCTACCTGAATAGGACCAGTTGCCAGTGAAAATCTCATCGATATTCAAGTATTGATTTTTCACTTTGATTACTTTCATTTTTTGTTTTTTATTTCACTTTTTAGGAATCATCTTCACAATCTACAAAGTACATCTTATCAGAAACTTTCACCCTATTCGATTTATTATATAAAACTTTAACAAAATTTGCTAATGACAATGAAACAGAGGATGATAATCAAATATCTGAAGAAGTAAATATCACAACCATCACCATCACCGCCACCACTGCGACTAGTGATACTGTCATCACTGAAGGTAAAGGTGACGCTGTCTCTAAAGGAACCGCTGAGAAAGTTAACAAAGAAGCAGGAGCAGCAGCAGAAGGAAAACAGTCAAATCAAACAGCAAATGTACCCAGGATGAATAATACTCTTCTACCCAAACTACCGATCAATAATAATACTAATTCTAGTAGTAGTAAAAATATTATGGCTACTAGTATCACTACCAATACTACTACCACTAATAGTACTAATAATAATAGTACTAATATTACTCTGCCTAGTCTATCCATTAATAGCAGTAATACGAATATTACTATCAATAATAATAGTAATAATAATACTAACAATACAACAAATATTACTTTATCTGACCAACCTAAAAAGAAGAAACGCAGAAAGATATTAGTACCTACGAATGAAGACGTCGATGAATCATCATCTAATGTTATATTAGGTGAACGGCTTCAACCAAGAATGTTTCTTCCATTATTTATTGATATTTATAGAATATTTAAGGCTATCAGAGCAAGCTGTAAAGAAAGTAAGTTCAAATTATAAGAAGAAAGTAATATTTATTGATTTGTTTGTGCACTTGTTTTTTTTTGTTTGTTTGGTAGTTCCAATATTTTAAATCCAGAATTTCCAATAACTGATATCTGTTTAGTGCTGCTAGTAATTCTGTAACGATAGAAGACAAGGGCCAGGCAACAGATAGTTTATTGAGAAAATCAAGAGGTATTTATAGATTTTTATGTACATTATTTTTAGCGGAGCAGCAACCTTTTCTGATTGGTTGTTTTCCTGCTGAAGGTTATTTTGTCATCTCTTTGTGGCCGTTTCTTTGAAGGTCAGACCGTATATCTGCGAAATGTATCCGCTCACGCAAGGTCTGCTGTGATTGGTTGTTGAGTTAGTCTGTGTTCTTGTGTTTTTTTCTCATGACCAATATTTGGGACGTAAACATTGACGTAAATTACTGTCTACCAATTTTGGTTAGCACACAGCTCTCACCACAACCCCACCTACCACCCTAGTTACAATGTTGGCTGTTTATCACATTTCTGAAATATTTTGATAACACAAACAATAAACCAAACTAATGTTTTTTTAAAAATTCTTGTTCGATAAACCTAATTTACACACAGATATGAAAAACATTGATTATATATTATAATTATGAAAGTACAGATAAGTGAATGAATTCGCTGAGAAAAGACTCTTCACTGAACTGTGCGTCCTTATTTCCATGCCTGGATGAGTATTTTTTATTACTTTTGTTATTATTCCTTCGGGTTATGAGTGGAACATACGACTTCCACAGCACATCCGCATTTTTTTATTGTTATCCGTAGGCCTCTTTGACCGGTCCCACAATTCCCCTTAATCTATCATCTCCACAATGTCACCTTGGGATTTATGTCCAACTCTCTGTTTTCCATTCGGGTTCCATTCGATGATCTGCCATCACGCGATGTTACTTGACGGTCTTCACAGAGTATATCAAATCTATCTCCATTTTCTTTGGAATATTCTTGGAGTAGTAGGTTTTTAAGTGATGGATGGTGACTAGCAGTGGAATCCAGGATAAGGCGCATTTCGTCCTGTTTCAGACTTGTGCGCCATCTGGATGTACCTGCATTTCCCAGTGAGTTAGTGATGATGTTCCCACAGAGTCTCGAACCCAGTGACCACAGTTTCAAACGCCAAAGCGTTATTCACTTGACCACTTGAGTCACGAGAGCCACCTCTTGTGCAACGGGTCATAATAATTATTTAATTGAATTTTAGATTTTCCCGTCAATTGATTGGACCGAAGTGTTCAGTCTCAGGTTGACATGTCGGCTTCTTGTGCAGACGATGTCTGGGCAGTGGGTTCGAGCCTCGGTGTGGGGAACATCATCACTCACTGCGGAATGCAGGTACATCCAGGTGACGAGTCACAAACAGGACGGAGTATGCATCCTGTATTCCACTGCTAGTCACCATCCACCAGTCATCTTCTAACTACATGCCCAGACATCGTCGAAGTATCTGCACAAGAAGCCGACATGTCAACCTGAAACCGAACACTTCGATCCAATCAATCGACGGGAAAATCTAAAATTCAGTTGAGTAGTAGGTTTTTGTTTGGTTGGCTCTTAGAGTTTCTAGTCGCCAATTATTTTTCTGGCCGGCTATTTGATATTCAGTATGGAGCCAACGATGAGGACAGCTCTTGGTAAATGTTTGCAGTGGCCGGTTGCAAATCCCTTTCGTGATTCCCAGCGCTAGTTTCTGACCCGTATATAAGAACTGACTGACTGACTTTACACTGGTGTTGCAAATCAAAACTTTGTTGTTTATTCTGAGTGCAGAAGATTTTCTGACTGGTTTCATAGTTGTCAAAGTTTATCTTGTCTTTCCGATGCAGCCTTTAATGTCTTCACTTTGGCTGCCTATAGTTGAAGTAACGCTGACTGGTTTAGTGAAAGAAGTAATTTCCTTTACATTTACTTCGTTGATGGTATTTGTTGACTGTTGTTGTTAATTAGGTACCATCATCTCCATCCTACCTGTATACATTTAAAGGCTCGTCTTCTCTTCATGGTTCTTTCACCATTTTGTTGGTTTTCACCTGTAGGTCTTCTAGTTTGTGTGACACCATATATAAATATCCCGCAAAGTTTAAATCTTATAGAGTCTTCTTATCTAAATCCTTCCAAATGTCAGACTGTCAATTTCAGTTTCCTATGTAAAAGGAAGTTAAATGAAGCTGTTGGTTCCTATGACCCTTGCAAAATTGATGATACTGATAGAGAAATCAAGTGTGAAGTTAAGTACCTTGGATTTATTCCTTCCACTGGTCTATCCTGGTCTTCCTACGTCTTAGAGATTTCTAAGAGAATATTTCGTCTGACTTTTTACATTCAGAAGTTAAGGTACTCAGGCAGTTTGTCACCTCTTGCATCTTACCTATTCTTCTTTACTGTTCACCCTTAATCTTGCCTGGATTGCTTCGTAGAACTCTGAAGTCTGTCAGTAGGGCGGGTGGTATCCCATCGGGCCATATCATTGACATTGTCACTGATAGGCACTTGATGTCATGCAACAAATTTGCCAAAGAAATTTTGTCAGACTTTACCCACAGCTCCAACCTTGTGTCTCCTCAAGTGAAACAAGAAGTTTTTTCAGAAGACTTTATGTACGTACGTCCAAGTATAAAAATTCCACTATACCATATTTGGTACGTACTTTATGTGATAAAAATATTGTTAGGCATGAACTTACTAACCTTCTTTGCACTATTAAATAAACCATTTCCTTCACCCTTACATTATCAAACATAAAGTCATTGTATTTCTTATATTTATAATCCTCTCAAGTTTTTGTTTTTATTTGTTTATTTTTTTCATAAGTGTGAACATCATTTAAGCTGTATTATAACTGTTAATTTTGTATTTCCCCTCACCATGCTGCTATATCAACAGAACATTAGATTCAGTACTCTATGATAACATGCTAAAATTTCCAAACTGAATCGACAATACTGTTTGAAACAAACTCACTATTATTATTATTGTGTTTAATATTCTCATTTCGTGCTTCGAATATTTTTGACTATATATCGTAAACGTGGACAAATTCCTCTGGTTAATTTTGTTTTAATTTTTAATTTTATTTATATTTTGAGTAAATCAGATTCAATATTGTGACAAATGCTGAGAATTCCATTCTGTATTATAAGTACTGTTTTTGGAATAAAGTAGATTATTATTATTATTATTACACAACTGTAGAGTGAGGCTGGCACAGATTTAGGTCACGCCATAGTGTTGAAGTAGTTTCCAAATTACTTCACAGCTAGTACTATCGAAGGCCTTTTAAAATTCGACGAACTTAAAGTAGAGGTTTGACTGCCATTCTATGCTCTGTTCCATGATGATGCGTAGTGCTGCAATCTGATTCCTGAGTCCAGGTGGAGTCTTTTTTTTCAGAGCATCTTTAAGTCTCCCCAGGATGACACGATTGGTCATGAGTGGGGTCATATTCCGCATCACTTCTCCCAACGACACTCCTTTGGTCGTTGGACAACACAGCCCCTCTTTAAAGACTGATTGTTAGATACAGAACTCCATTTCTTCATTCCTTTTGGTCTCCAAATGTAGTATAGGTCTTCATTTATTTATTTATTTATTATTTTTGATTACAGCTTGATGCCACACCGTATTTTCAGTACAAGTATGGAATTTTCAGCATGGATATCGGTAGCCCAAAATTCGCAGGCTGACCATAGATCGAACACATTCCGAGGAAACTGAACCCCTAACCATATGCATGGTCGGCGAGAGTCCTAAACACTTATGAAGTTTCAGTAGCGGTGATGATTTTTAGTTTTACGAGGTGAGGTTGCCAGCCTCAGTTATGGACAACCTTCCCTCTTTCCTGGAGTTACGATTTTACAGTAAACTAGCTGGGATTTACGAGTGCATTGGCCCGAAATCGAACCGAGACCAGTGCGTAGTTGATGAGAATCCCCCTTTCAAACAACTGACGCCAAACACTGTGTGAATTTTGTATAAATTGTAGCAGTACATTCATGCATCACTTCTGAATCTATGTGTGAACTGTGAAAGTACTACTTCATTGAATTTACCATATAACCATACGATTGGAATGTAATGACTTATCTGATGGAGAAGATTTGTAGCTCAGGGGGATGGTTTTCATGCGGTTGTGTTCTCTGACCTGGATAGTTAATTTGCGAAACTTTCATCACCCTGCTTATTAGACAACATCTTCCTTCAGCGCATACTTCAATTTGAATTGAAGTGAGATTTTAGATTTCTTCACGAGTTTATTAATCATCTCTCCTGGTGGGTGACCTTGGACGTGATTGGTTGATTTTGTGTTTTCACACCTACTAGGCTACTTGTATTGGAACTGATTGTTTTCTTTGACTTCAACTTTGACCCTTTGTGTGTGAGGTTTCTTTTTTATTGGTTGATAAATTTTTTCTATCTCGATGTGTTTATTGATTGATGATTCACTGGAATACCAGGCAAGCTTCTAAAAATTCTTTAGCATTCTTGTTGTTTCCTCTGTCTAATATTTGAACATTGTCTCAATCAAATTGATGCCCGTGGTTGTCTGTATGTAGTGATATGAGGGAGTGGATGTCATGTCTTTTGACGGCTAGCTTATGTTCGTGGATACGAAGACCAAGGGGATGTCCACTTTGGCCAAAGTTCTAATACAAATAGCCTAGAAGGTATGAAAACACACAAAAACAACCAATCACGCCCAAGGTCACCCACCAGGAAAGATGATTAATAAACTCGTGGAAAAATCTAAAAGCTCAATTCAAATTGAAGTATGTGCTGAAGATGTCGCCTAGTAGGGTGATGAAAGCTTCGCAAATTAACTATCCAGCTCAGAGAACACAACCACATGAAAAAAATGACTTATCTGTTCAAAGTAACAATATTTCCAGATATATGTAAAAACATTATATTTGTAAAATCTCAGCGAGATTGAAATGAGTAATTCCAACGTTCTGTTCGGCAATCTGGTCCGAACTTCTTCAGGGAAATTAATCGAAATTAACATAACAGAGGTTTATATATAAAAGGAACATCACTTGTTTTTAAAATTTTTTCCAATCATGAGTCATTCAAATAGTGTCAACAAGTATAGTAAACAAAATTTTTATGAGCTGTGATCAAAATTTGACCCTGGACTTACAAATATTGGTCTACCTTTGTTAAACACTTTGTTTACTATACTTGTTGACACTATTTGAATGACTCATGATTGGAAAAAATTTTAAAAACAAGTGATGTTCCTTTAATATATAAACCTCTGTTATGTTAATTTCGATTAATTTCCCTGAAGAAGTTCGGACCAGATTGCCGAACACAAGAAATGTTAGAATTACTCATTTCAATATCGCTGAGATTTTACAAATATAATTTCTTACAAATGTCTACTTGTCACTCGGCGCCCAAATATTTTAGAACTATTCTGTCAAATCTTGACAACAGTTCATTTGAATTTCCAGATATAGTTTTACTGTTGTGAAATACCCTCGTTAGGCTTCCAGTTGTTACACCTCTTGACATGGTAGACGCTTAGAGGTCAATATCTCTCACCAAACCTTCATGACATCCATTCAATGGATGTCGGTTCGTAAAGAAATCTGCCCTGAAGTCAATCAACGCTTCTCCACACACACACACAACTAAAACCTAAAAATTTATTGATTTCTTTACAACAATTTTGCATATATTTTTTTCCCTAAGAACAATAGACGTTTGTGCAGAATAATATGGTACCATCATTGATTTCGTTGGCTTCTCATCAGCTCAACTGCCACCTACACCACTGAATAAATTATTATTATTAAGTTTATGTACAGAAAATGTTTTAACACACTTGACAGGAAGTTCCAACCTTACTGAACCGTAGAAAACTTGAGCACTGTGGTGGTAGAGTATAACTCCATTATGGATAAGATTTTATTTTGATAAAATCACACAGTGTTGCTATACAGTAATGTTAACTGATGACCACCTTTCGAGCACAAACTACATAGGTCAAACTGGTAGGTCGCGGGTAGTCAGATTGTCGGATCATAAGAATTTGATGGCTAAGGTAAGAATGGTTGGCCCCGAGAAGATAAGTAATTTAGAAAAAAGCTCAGCAATACATTGCACTGCACGCATTAACAGACAACCACACAATAGGGTGCGTGGGAGAGGGTTAAAATTCTAAGAAGTAATATAGGTAGGTGGAGAGAGAGGTTGATTACTGAATCCCTGTTCATCGAATCTACACCGAACACAACACATGCAACAGAAATGACTCACTGCAAATACCAGAGATGTGGAAGACATTATTACCACCAGTCAGTCAAATCAGAAGAGGATAATAAATAATCTCAAAATTCTATTTCAATTCACATACATTAATTATAACATTCTAACAAGTTACTTATTTTGACTATAAAAACACTCATCTTATTTCCCATCTGATTGTGATTGGTTGATGACACTCATATTACTATTTCTGAATGTACATTATCCTATATTGATTTTTTTCAATTGTTTAATCATGAATTTCACTCATGTATATAAATGAAGGATGAAAGTTGTGTGATTGACTTGATATAATTATGAGCGGTAATAATTTGTGCTCAAAAAGTGGTCATCAGTCAGTATTACTGTATAACACTGTGTGATTTATCCAAATAAAACTATACCTATAATGGACTTAGTGAACAGTGCTCAGGAAATTACAATTTTATAGTTTTTACACGGAAAGTTGAAGTTTACACAAAGTGAATGTATGCCTACAATGGTAGAAGAGTTACGTAATAAGGACGACAGGCGCGTAAGATGTTGAGTAACTAACTAATTCGTTAACAGCGTACAAGAGAAAAGCAAATTTATACTATTTGAAATGGCGATAAGCTCTAAGTCTAAGATTACGTAATAAAATGAAAGAGAGAATAAAGATATTCACTTACGAGGATGGGCAAGGAAAGATTGATAGCCGCCTTTTTCTGAACACATAAATCGGATTTCAGGTGTTTGATAGAGATTCTTTCGGCAAATTTGATGAGAATTGAGCTGATTTGTCTATTGGTAATTTTAAAGGATTTTGTGATTTTCACCTCATGACCCTCATGACCGTATCAAGAGGATGCCTGATAACAGAACTTGCAAATACTGCTATATAAGCGTAATTTTCTGAGCAATGTTCACTAACTCCAGAACCTCCTGTCAACTGACATCATGTGAACTTTGCAATTATGTTAAAATTTATGAATTCAGACAAAGCAATAAGAAGACGAAATTTGTCTGAATCGTGTAATGTGTATTTTCGCAACACATTTCGAACAATCGGATCCATTACACACGAACTTGTCATAGGAATATATATGAAATTAATAAAGAGTTAAGAGGCGAGAAAATAAATTTAGGTCAAGTTAAAAGGACATATTTAAGGTCAAAATAACAATGCAGCTCACTAAACTAAATAACAGAGGTACATCTACCCTGGATGGTGTCAAAACAAAGTTTACCAATGAAGCTAAGTTTAGTGTGATGACGAATTGTTGCCTTGAGCGCATAAAGGTGGTTTAAACTTCCTAATTGGCAGCTAGGGCATCCATAAGCTTTAGTATACGCCCTCTCCAAACATGTTCACTAGTTAGGTTTAAAAGACGTGTCTCCGTAATATGTTTCGCAATAGAGGAGCTGGGTCATCGTCTGTTCTCACCGTTAATGGATTCTGGGTATTATATTTGCTTCTGAAGCCATTTAGGAAAATGCACTGAAGCCAGCCCTTACTTGCAAAGATCGATCAGTCCTCCCTATGAATGTATGTCCACACGAACATTCAATTTGGTAAATACAATGGGATGTGACATTATTTCTTGCATGTTCAAAGGGCTTAGATGGATATATTGGCCTCACTTTCTTAATTATTATGATATTAGCTGCATAACAAGTCTTTCTAACCATAGCAGCGTTCAGTCTTTGTCTAGCTATCAAGCTGCTATATTGCCCAAATAGGGTAGCTTGATGTACACGTCTTTCTTAGGTGCGAGTTGGAGAGTGGGTCTTGGTGTTCTGACTACTTTATATCTCCTGATGAGCTTGTCTGGATAACTGTTATCAACCAGAGTTTGTATCGACTTTCTTTCTTCCTCATTGAGTGTGTATTCAGTAAATATTAGTTGGATTGTATTGAAGAGGCACCTTACTAAGGATCCTCTTTTGTACCAAACAGAGTAGAAATTGTGATAATTAAGATACTATACTGTCCAGGTAGATCTTTCTATTGACCCATTAAGCCGTTGACTAAGCAGTATGTCTAAGAAAGATAAACACTTATCTTCCTCTTCTACAGACAGATGTAAGTGATATGCTATTCTGAACTTCATTCATTCCATTGTTTCTGTATTATTATTATTAGTATTATTATTGTTTTCTTTAATTCCCAGAGGAACATAGGGCTTCAGCCGTGCGTCTCCATTACGTTCGGTTCTCCACTAGAGTTTTCACCTGGCTCCAAGTCTGCCCACATACTTTCATCTCCTCTTCACATGAACTCCTCCAAGTCACCCTTGCACTGACGACCAACTCGCCGCTTCCCTTCCGGGTTCCACTCGAGCAATGGCTTGTCTAGTGATGTCACTTGATGGTTTTCTCAGAGTATGGCCAATCCATCTCCATTTCTTCCTGCATACTTGTTGCACAATCGGTTCCTGGTTGGTTGGTTCGCTCATTGCCAGAGATCTCTGTTGCTGATCTTTTCTGGCCAGCCATCTGATCTTGAGTACTGAGCGAAAGCAGCTGTTGATGAAGGTCTGTAGTTTGTTTGAGATGGTCTTTATGACACGCAGTGCAAGTCTCTGATCCGTATAGTAGCACTGACTTCACATTCGAGTTGAAAATCCGGATCTTATTTTTGAGGCTGAATGCTGTTGACCTCCACATAGACTTGAGAGTAGTGAAAGCTTCCCTTACTTTCCCGGTCCTTGCTTTGATATCCTCATCAGTTCCATCTGTCTGTAGTTGAGACGATGCTTCCCAGGCAGGTAAACGAGGTTGTTTCTTTCAGGCTCCTCCCATTTATGCTGATTGTTGTCTGTTGTTTTTGCTGATATTGGTGTTGGCCACGAATCTTCATCAACTCTGTTCTCTCTGTGTTCACCTGAAGGCCTATCTCTGATGCTTCTGATTGTTTCTATGCATAAACCTAACAATTTATTTAATCTGTAAGCAGCTGAGCTGATGAGAAGCCAACGAAATAAACAATGATGGTACCATTTTTATTCTGCACAAACTGCTGTTGTTCTTACTTTATTTAAATTCATAAAGCGGAGTAAATGTATGAAATGCATATTTCTACTCTATCTTTTACAGATTGTACAGATTATTTTCCAAATTATGAATATGTTTTATGGATGTATAATTGGGTGATCTGTACAAAAATTGGTCCAACCCCATTAAATGATGTCGATGGAATCTGCCCGAAAATTTGTCGTCCACGTAAAGATATTACACTGAAAGAAAATTATATCACAGAGTTAATTAATTTAACCTTTAAACCAATCGCGCTAACAATGGATCCATTCGATGTTTGTTCACAGTTAGTTAATACAGTATCCGGGACATGTTTAACATATGGAAGTGGTGTAGGCGCTGAAGAATTCACGTGAGTTTTTACTGCATAAAATATACATGTTAATTAGTATTTTTTAAATATTACTCCCTTGGGTTCCGAGTGGAACACACGGCTTCAACAACACATCTGAACTTTCGCCTATTCTCTGCTGTCCTTTTCATCTGGCTAGCTCCATGATTGCCCATAATCCATCATCTCCTTCTCGCACGACCTCCTCCATTTCACTCTCTCACTGACGACCCATTCGTCACCTCGAGCAACGGCCTGCATTGAGTGTGATGTCATTTTGTAACAACAGAAGACAAGGGCCAGGCAACAGATCGTTTATTTAGGAAATCAACACATATTTATAGATTTTCATTTACATTATTATAGATTATTGTAAGCAAACAAACACAGTGTTCTGATTGATGGTTTCTTGCTGAACGTTAATCTTTCATCTCTTTGTGGCCGTTTATTGAAGTTCAGATTATCTATCTGCGAATTGTATCCGCCTACACAAAGTCTGTTGTGGTTGGTTATTGAGTCAGTCTTTGTTGATATTTTTCTCATGACCAATATTGGGGACGTAACTATTGACGCAAATTACTGTCTACCAGCTTTGGCTAGTAGACAGCTCTCACCCTACTCGTCCCCCCGTCAAACACTTGCGACTGAAGTTGGTTCTGTCTTCTCGGTTCTATGGGGTTTGTTCGTTTGTCTTGCTGTCTGGAATCTCGGCACTCGCTGATGTTCACCTGTTTCTCTTTGTTTACCATTGCGATTGTGTCTGTGTAACCCCATCTCAAAGTGACCATATGTGGTCCTTCCCACTTTGGAAACTGTTTGCCTGACTCTGTTGCATATTCGTCGGTATTTCGACTCACACTTTCACATACTGCTTTCTCCCGACCTCTCAGCAGCTATTTAATATTCAGTATGGAGGCAGCAAAGGCGGCTGTTGATAAAAGTTTGTAACCTGTTTGGAAGTCATTTTCATGACGCTCTGGGCAAGTTTCTGACCCGTATAGAAGCGCTGACTTACTGACTTCACATCTGTGTCGAAAATCTGAATTTTGTTCGTAACACTGAGGTGGAGTGCAGAAGATTTCCAAACTGATATCAGGTTGATGAAGGCGTATCTTGCCTTTTTGATTATTGCTGGCTGGCTGGCTGGCTTTGACATCTTCATCCATTCCGCCACCTGTGGTTGAAACGATACTGGCTTCCTAGATAACTGAAGACAGAAATTAACCTCTTTCAAGTTTCTCCCGTTGATGGCGATTGGTGCTGGTTGTTGTTGTTGCTGTCGGTTGGTTGGTTGGTTGGTTATCTTCATCACCTCTGTCTTCTCTTTGTTCACACAGAGTACTGTCTTAGCTAACAGCCTCTTCTGCCAGTTAGCTGGTTTCCGCCTGCCTGCAAGTCTTCGAGTTTGTGTGACATTAAACATAAATATTTATGCATAGTATTTACTGGTAATATTTTTATGACATCATTATACCACTACTATTCCCTTGGATTCCAAATGAAAAGCAGGGTTTCAGTAGCACAATCAAGTCTGTATTTCACTCTGTTCTCTGCAGCAGTTCTTAGCTTTCATTTCCTGCTCGCATTAGCCCTTGCATATCACAACTGGACCCACTGCTTCTCTGATTCGTATAGTAGCACTGACTTCACATTGGAGTTGAAAATCCGGATCTTATTTTTCATGCTGAGTGCTATTGACCTCCACACAGATTTGAGAGTAATGAAAGCTTGCCTGGCTTTCCCGATCCTCGCTTTCATATCCTTATCAGTTCCGCCTGTAGTTGAAACGATGCTTCCCACTTCGGTAGGTGAAGGAGGTTGCTTCTTTCAGATTTCTCCCATTCATGTTGATTGTTGTTGCTATTGGCCAGGAATCTTCATCACCTCTGTTTTCTCTATGTTCACCTGAAGACTTATCTTTGATGCTTCTCCAGCCAACTTGCTGCTTTTTTCACATCCATATCTTCCTGTGTTTGTGGGAAATCAGACTTATATATCACATCGGCGAATTCCAAATCCTCCAACTTTTTTGTGTGGGTCTATTTTATGCCTGTTTCCTCGTTGCCCAGCCCACTATCTGTCGCATTGTCCAGTCTATCTCCCTCAATCAGGAAAATCATTGGAGATAGTAGGTAGCCAGCCAGCCTTGTCTCACTCCCGTCTTCACTTCTTCGAAGGATTCCGTGATTTTTCCGTCGTGGATTACTCGGCATGCAGCATTGTCGTACAACTGTTGGATGAGGTGTATAATTGTTGGTGGCCCCCCATAGTAGCGAAGTAGTTCCCAAACCGCCTCTCGATAGACGCTGTTGAAGGCCTTTTCAAAGTCGATGAAGTTGAGTGAGGTAGAGAGCTGACTGCCATTCCAAGCTCTGTTCAATGATGGATGATCCGTAGTTTTGCGATTTGATCAATACATGACTAGTTTCTCCTGAATCCAGTCTGTTCCGGCCGAAGTTTTTCATCCAGGGTGTGTTTGAATTCTAACTTGCATTTCATTTATTTATTTATTTTCAATTATTTCTAGATGCCAGTGTAAATCTCATGCTTATGAATGGCAGACTGTCGATTCATTAACTGGCTGTCTACTGATTCCACAGATCATGAATAGCTCACAGAATGCACACAGTAAAACATGGAATATTGAATGTAATGAAGATATGAAACAATTCTGTAAAAATAGCACAGATAAATGTTATTATCGTTTAAGATTAATGGATGATATTGACGTTAGTGAATCTACTGACTCTAATAAAAGCAACAGTAATGACACTACTACTACTACTACTAACACTACTGAGAGTAGTAATAATAACACCTATGTTAATAGTACTTCTGTTAATACTACCCGATTAAAGTTAACCTCAAATGTTGATATATCACCTTGGCCACATTGTCAATGTACTAAATACTTTACTGGTATCGACTGTTCCGAGTCAGTTCAACCTTGTAAAGAGATTTTATCGAATGCTTTGAAGAAACCACAACTACTTATGCATAGTCAAGTTGTTAAAGATGATATTGACCGGCCGATAATAACAACAGTATCATATGATAATAATGAATATCAGAAGTCAGCCTCAGGTGATTGGTTGTGTGGTGTTGATTTTCAATATGGCAGTTGTATTCCTATTGGTAAGTGTATTTTTGGTACTGTTTTTAACTACTATTTTGAATATAAAGTAGTATGAAATTTTAATGGCAAAATGTGCAAGCCATCTATGCGAAAACTGATGCTTGATATTAATTCTGAAGTCAAAAACGGTCTTTTCACTGATAAGTGCTGATGAGTACGAAATATAAGTTCCTTAATAGGAGTGACTGACTAACGTTTATCAGCGTCATGTCTAGTGATTCATAATGGAAAGCTCAGGGAAGAGTTTCAACTGAATATAGTAGAGTAAGACAAGGCTTCCTATGGCCATAAATAGGCTGTAGGAAGTGAGAAGAGTGACATACCTTTATCCTATGTGAAGAAACCGGAAGAAATGGACTTCGCAGATGATTTATGTTGAATGTCATCCAAAGTAATTTGGAAACTACTCAAGTACTACGGCGTACCTCAAAAATATTCATCAACCTTATTCAACATTTTTACAACGGCACATGTCAAGTGATCCACAACGGAAAACTCAGCGAGGCGTTTGGAGTAAACACAGGAGTCAGACAAGGGTGCTTATTTATCACCAATGATATTCCTAATTGTGGTGGACTGGATCGTGCGTCAGACAGTGGGAAACGAGAAGACAGCGATATCCTGGACCGACATGAAGAACCTAGAAGACCTGGATTTTGAGGATGATTTATGTTTGATGTCACACAAAATCGAAGACTTGCAAGCGAAAACCGACAAACTGGTCGAAGAAGCAGCAAAGACATGACTCCAGGCGAACAGAGACAAGACGGGGGTTATGAAAATAACCAACCAACCAACAAAAACAGCAGCAACATCCAGTGCCAATCACCATCAGCGAGAGGGATTTGAAAGAGGTTACTTCATTCACTTATCTAGGGAGCATTGTCTCAACTACAGGAGGAACGGACGAGGATGTCAAATCGAGAATCGGGAAGGCGAGAAACACATTCATCAACCTGAAACCAATCTGGAAATCTTCGTCACTCAGCCTGCATCAACAACAAAATTCGGATTTTCAATACAAACGTCAAGTCAGTTCTTCTATACGGATCAGAAACTTGGCGGGTCACAAAGAATATTTGCAACAGCCTGTTGCAGACCTTTATCAACAACTGTCTTCGCTCTATACTGAAGATCAGATGGCCGCCGGAAAGAATCACCAACAAGAAACTATGGGAACAAAAACAAAACAAGAACCAATCGCCCAACAAATATGCAGGAGAAAGTGGAGATGGATTGGACACTCGCTGAGGAGGCCGCTGGGTGACATCGCGTGTCAGGCCAGTGCTCGAGTGGAACCCGAAATGGAAGCGGCGAGTGGGACGTCCAAGAGTGACATGGAGGAGATCGTGTGAAGAGGAGCTGAAACAGTATGGACTAACATGGATGCAAGTGAAAAGTACAGCAGAAGACAGAAGCAAGTGGAGACGTGCAGTTGAAGCCCTATGTTCCACTAGGAACCCAAGGGAACAATAATAATAATCATACAAACTAGAAGATCTACAGGTGAGAACCAACCAGTTGGCAGCTGATTTGATGGAGATAGGTAATATACAATGGAAAAAATCTAAAGAAAGCCATACTTTTCACTTATCTAGCCAGTGTCTCAAACTAATGTGCACATCTATAGCACTCACTCACTATGAGGAACAAAATCCGAATTTTCAATAACAATGTGAAGTCAGTGTGTGTATATATGGTTTAGTGAGTTACAGCATGCACCATCTAAAGCATTTCCAACAAGCTACTTCAAGCTATCGTCAACATCTGCCTTCGTTCGACGATGTTGAAGATGAGATGACCGGTCAAAAAGTGTAAGCAATAAGGAATAATGCCAGGAGTTAGGTGATACACAGTGGAAAACTCAGAGAAGAAGCCTTTGAAGTGAATACAGGAGTAAGACAAGATGGCTGCCTGTTATCACCGATGATATTCCTAATTTTGGTGGACTGGATCATGCGTCATACTGTACGTCGTGAGTGAGAAAACAGGAATACGCTACACTGACCAAAAAGAAGACTCTAGAAGATCTGAATTTCGCGCGTGCATGATTTATGTTTAATGCCACACACACAAACTCGAAGACTTGCAGGCAGGCGAAAACCAACAAATTGGCTGAAGAAGCAGGCAGCGAAAATAGGACTCCAGGCGGACATAGAGAAGACGGAGGTGATGAAGATAACCAAACAACCAACAGCAACAAAAACCAACACCAATCACCATCAGTGGGAGAGATTTGACAGAGGTTACTCCCCTCACTTATCTAGGAAGCTAGCATCGTTTCAACCACAGCTGCGGGAACGGGTGAAGATGTCAAAGCCAGCCAGCCAGGCAGAATCGGAAAGGCTAGATACGCCAGTTTGGAAATCTTCCGCACTGCACTCAGTCAGCACAAAGAACAAGATTCGGATTTTCAATACAAATGTGAAGTCAGTCAGTCAGTTCTACTATATGGGTCAGAAACGTGCACTGCGTGTCACGAAAAGGACTTCTAACAAGTTACAGACGTTTGTCAACAGATGCTCACTTCGCTGGCTCCACATTGGAGATCAAATGGACTGTAAGCTGGCCAGAAAGAATTAGCAAGAAGAAATTCTGGAAGGTGACAAACCAACCAAGAGCAGATTGCTCAACAAAAATGTAGGAGAAAATGGAGATAGAGTGGGCACACGTTGAGAAGGAGGCCCTCGAATGACAGCGCTCAATGCAGGCCATTGCTCGAGGGGAGCTGGAATGGGGAGCGACGAGTGGGTTGTCGGTGAGATAGTGAGATGGAGGAGGTGGTATTAGTTGGAGATGAGAGATTATGGTCAATCGTGGGCTCAGCCAGCTGAAGAGGACAGCAGAAAATAGAGGAAAGTAGAGATGTGCTGATGAAGCCGTTTGTTGCACTTGGAACCCAAGGGAATAGCGATAATAAGGAACTCTGGAAACGAATCAAACAAGAACCAATAAATATGCAGAAGACAATGGAAATGAATTGGACATAATGGTCTGAGGAGATTGTTAAAAAACACACTGTGCCATACAGACCGTCGAGTGGAACACGAATGGGAAGCGAGCGACGAGTCTGACGTGTGTTCGAGGGTAACATGAAGAAAATCGTATGATGAGGAATTGAAAGCCTCTAGGGAGTCTTGAAGCGAGATGAAAAGGATAGTCCCATTTTCAAATACGTACCTATGGTATTAAAAAATAATATTAAAATAGGAATAAACTTTATAGCAATATCAATGGAATAATATTTGAAATCATTGTGTCAAGTAAGGCTGATCAGTTCACTGATGTAGAATCCGAATGGGTCATGATCAGTAAAACCACTTTACAATGAAGTAATTAGTGATTATACAAAATAATCTTATACCATATCACGAATAACCTCCAACCATTGGTTCATAGATTCCCGAGAGCCTCAATCAGACAGTCTACAACTCCTTACACGGCAAATTCGAAACAGTTGCCAATATCTTTATCGACTGGTTCCATGTTTTGGCTTCACCATCCCGGTATTTCTAAATGTTTATCTTTTCAATAAGGCATTTAGAAGACAAATCTCTCGAGATAATATAGTCATTTCGTAGTTTCTTTACAATCGCTTTACAACTAACTTGGTTCACAATAATAAAATAAAACAAAATACATGACAACTACTCAGTTATATAAAACAAAAGTATATACTAATGACCAACCATATTTAAATAGGTCAAGTAGTCCATAGTAGGCCAATGGCTATCCAGAAAAATTTATCAATGGTTACTGTAAGGATAAATCACATCTTGAAAAGACAGCTTCTGTACCAAAGAAAGCTATCTTTACTAACCTACCATTCAAGGGCTATCAAATTATGCAGTTCGCAGCTAGCTCAAAGACTTCCATCAATTATCAAAAGCACATTCTACGCTGCATCTCCTTCCGTGATTATAATCAAAGTTAATTATCAAGTGGCAAGGCAATTATTGTCATAGATAGAATAATTCACAGGATCTATACTACTTGGAAGGCGTGTGAATTTATAGGATCAGTAGACAAATCGAATAAAATAAAAACGTTACGTAATATTGTGTGAAATTTGATAACAAAGAATTTAACGTTGCAAAACAGAATTGATTTAGAATGACAAGTGAAATAATACCGAGGACAGTTCAAAGTGAGAATAGTAACAATTGACGTAATAAAGGAAGAGAATATAAGCTGAATAGACAAAATGAAAAAAAATGAAAAATTGGCAGAGCCAAAATATGATTAGTGATTACTATACTTTAGCATAGAGGGATTAAGACCATAAAAGTTAGAGGGGCTGAACGAACGTTTTCTGTACACAGAGGTCTGGCTTTTCTGCTTCGATAGCCAAAGCTTCAACAATACAGTTGAGTTGGATACGTAGTGCTCTCCGTAAATTACCTTTTTCCTTGTAGATGACTTTAAAGGCGGAGGCTATAGAGATAGGGTGATCATTATCGACCAGATGTTCAATGGTCGTGCTTCTTATTACTCCACTTCCACCTCTTCGTAACCATGTAGGATAATGATCTTGCACCCTCTTGGACAAAACTCGAGTCGAACGACCGATATACCTAGCTCCATACGAGCAGGTGAATTGATAAACGCTCATAGAGTTGGTCAACTGTGGGATCTTGTCCTTCAGGTTATTGAACAGTATTGGTGGAATGGTAAAGGTTATTCTGAGAGATGCAGCAGGGAATTTTCTTTTCAGGGACTTTGATATCTTCCTTTTCATGACATCGGAAGCTAAGTCACCTTTGAATTCCAAGCTCATGTAATTTATTTTCTTGGGTACGGATGCAACGTTAAATTCTATGTAATCAAATTCTACACAATATTACATAACGTTTTTATTTTATTCGATTTGCCTACTGATCCTATGATTGCACACCCCTTCCAAGTTCTATACATCTCTTTCCCTCACATCTCGAATATATGCGATCCCTATGCCTACTATGAAAGGACGATATTCTGTAGACTCTACTTCAAACTATATCTAAAATTTCACCTGCAGCTGCGGTGACACCTATATAGGTAGAACCAATAGAATGTTCCAATGTCATCGTCGAAAAGAACATGTTCCAAAATGGCTACTAAATCATATAGAAAATCCCAATGAAATTAATCTGAATAGAAATCCATCAACATCATCCATTGCAAAACACTTATTAATGTCAGGTCACAAAATCAATATTAATGACTGCTTCACATAACTCTAATTCAAGGCTGGTTATTGAAGGTGATAGAAGCATTTTGGGGATTAATCACATACATCTTAAGCTATGTGTACGAAAAGACAATAGACTTCAACTTTCACCTACCATGATGGACTACCTGACCTATTTAAATCTGATTGTTCATTAGTATGTACTTTTATTTTTTATATAACTGAGTAGTTGTCATGCATTTTAATTTATCATTATTGTGAACCATGTTAGTTGTAAAGCGATTGTAGAGAAACTACGAAATGACGATATGATCTCACGAAGTTTTTGTTCTAAATACCTTACTCGAATTTTTGAAAGGGACTATTTGTTTTAGTTTACCTATTCGTCCAAGACTTGAGATTCCTAGGCTCAAATTCCATAGGGTGGAGTGGATGACATAACAGTGTTGAAGATTTCTCAACGCAACAAAACCTCTTGTATCTGATGCTAACTAGTAACGAGATCTTACTTTTCTTTATGATTCCCTAAATGTATGCGTCGGTCTGAATCAAATGAGCAATTTGCAATCTACACTGCTGTTCGTGGAGGTGGAATTTCACCACAGTCCACTTCGAACACCAAAACTATTTAGATCACCACAATGTGCGATCTGCTAGATAGCAGAAATGCTAATCATGGAAGCAATCATAAATGCCTGTGACTATATATAACTAACTGACTGACTGGTTGATTGATTGATTGAGATTGGTAGTTAATTGTATACTACTGAAATGAAGCATCAGTAGTGCTAGCTAGCCAGATCCAGGTTATGTTAACAGATAGGAACCACCATAAAATAGTATATCATCCATTCTTACGAATCTTGTGATGGAGTTACTATATATAATCCGTCATTTCTCACGCGTATTGTGATTTATTGTGTGATCAATTCATCACCTTTCATAATTTTAGAGAACCATTGGAAAGCTGGGAGACTGGACAGCTGTTTCTCCTAGTTTGGCTTTCACTTTTTCATCTCAACTTGATCTTTGTCGGATCGCCAACCAATCAGAGTAGCTATTACCAGTCAATAAGAACAATCTATTCCTACGTCTGTGAGCCGACTGTATTGTGCTAAAGAAAATGTATAAATATCACGGGTTGTTCCTCATAAGCATACGATATCTTACAGTCACAGGCCAGCCTTTCTCTTTTGATATTTGCGTGGCTCAGTGAGCGTACCATAAATGATGATGCTATATATTATTCTGCACAAACTACTGTTGTTCTTACCTTATTCAAATTCATCAAGGGGAATAAATGCATGAAGTACCTTAGTGTGGTTCGTCTCTAAAGGTTGAAATCTTCCTATGGAGGCAACTCCATAAACCGCTGTAAACAGATCGTGTAATTGTATATATATGTGTGTGTATCTGACTAAGGACTCAAGGGGTTATCCTATGTGCTCCACAATCAAGCAGTACTAATTCTCTTTCTGTTTCAAGAGGTAATACAACCTGCTGTACACTTCCATTTCGCCCATAAAGCTTCCTAAATACCTGAGAAATACGGACCATTGGATCGGGTCCCAGTGGCTCAATGGTCTACGAGCTCGCCTTTTAACCAGAAGGTCTTGGTTTCGAACCCCGGTGTGTGCGTACTGATGAAAAGTCCCAAACTAGGACGAAACCAGTGTCCAGTACTCCCAGCTTGTTTTCCAGTGGTTCTCTAACTGATATCAGCTCATGATGAAATCCTCCATGCAATCAAACATAATCCCTACAAAACCAATACTTGAAAATTAATCTGATGCTCACTAGTGACTGGCCCTATTCAGGCAGTGACCTAGGGTTATAGTGGGAAGCCATGACGAGTAAGGTACAGCAGGTTGAAGATAAGGCAGTAACTGATCAAAGAGGACATTGAGAAATGGTCACGCTATGTCGTGAATTGGCAGAAGTTAGAATTCATGGACTGGCCATTGGATCAGGTCTCAGTGACCTAATGGTCTACGAACTAGCCTTGTAACGGAAAGGTTCTGGGTTCGAACCCCGGTGGGTTCATACTGATGAAGAGTCCCAAACTAGGAAAAAACAGCTGTCCAGTACTCTCAGGTTTTCCAGTGGTTCTTTAACGGATGTCAGCTCGTGATGAAATCCTCCATGAAATACGGATAAATTATATCAAAGTGAAGGAAACATTCTGCTTTTATTTCCTCCCTCCCCCCCCTTCATTTTTTAAAGGTCAAACATATCAATGTCAATGTAATCCTGGTTATACCAAAGATCCAGACTACAGTGATTTTGATAATTGTTGGAAAGAAACTCATCAAGAGGTTGCAATTGAAATTGGCGGTCATATCATAACAAAATGTGGTCAAGGTGCATGTGTAAACGGTGGGAAATGTATCAATGTGACTAGAGGACTTTTTACGTATATTGATTCACTTGCGAATAATAATAATAACAATGTCAGCCTCCTCAAATACCAATGTGTCAATGCCCAAAAGGTTATACTGGTTTATACTGTGATGTAACAGAAGGTTTATGGAGTGGTAAGTGATTGTTTTATTGAAAATCTAAGAGTAAGTGGGTAAAATGAATTTACCTTACTTTACTTTACACCTCTCTGTTAGAGGCCTAAAGGTAGCTGTGATGTTGTGCACAGTCCTATCGTTTTTAAAGGAATATTAACTCAATCATTTTAAGTAACTTGAAAATCCCCATTCACTCATACAAAGAAAAGAAGGCGTTCAGCGGAGAGACTCTTTTCGGAGAATACATTCACTGAGCTGTACAATCGCATTTACATACAATTTTGTTTGTGTGTGTATATTAGATCTATAAAGTTTAGATAATTACGTAACATAATATTGGCTTGGAAACAAACGTTAATTAGATAGAAATTAAAATGAAATTGATTAAGTGAATTGGATGACGTAATACAATTGAGTAGAATTCAGAGTAGGTCAGGTTGGCAACAGTGTTAATGAGTGCTGGTTAAAATTAAATAAGGGTGGGGGTAGAGAATAATACAGTTGAAAATTAAGTAAGTTAATCGGATGACGTAATATAGTTGACTAGAAATTGGACGTGGGTCGAGTTAGCAACATTGTTAATGAGGGTAGAGATTACAAAAGGGTGGGGTAGAGAATAATACAAATGAAGATGTGGAATAATAAAATGCAAAAGACAAAATAATACAATTAGTAAGACTGAAATTAAGAAAGATTACGTCATTATTAATGAATGAAGAAATTTTTTTGTATGCAGAGTTCAGGATTTAGCAGATGAATTGCCATTGCTTCTGCGATGTGGAGAAGTTTGATCCGTACACTTTTAGCAAGATTGCCTTGTATTCTGTAGATAACTTTGAAGTTTATTTGTCCAGATTCGATCAAATGTTCAAGGATCGAGCTGTGGGGGCATCGGTTTTCTCCTTTATAAAACCATGAAGGTAAATGTTCGTTGACGCGTTTGGATAGCGAACGTTGAGTACGGCCGATATACCTGGCTCCACACGAGCAAGTGATTTGGTAGTATTACATTCGGCTGTTTCATCAAGGGATTTGGCCAACTGGTTTCAAACAGCTGGACTATTTGTTGAGCCGTTCGCTATACTATGCACGAAAAAACCTTCAGATTAGTATTACCCCTCGTTAGATCTAATCTGATTGGCTGATACAACGAAAAAAACCTTTGTCTTGTTAATTAATGTCTTTTAAAATACACCACCATACTGAATGACTTCAGATAAAGAAGAAATTAGTCAAATTTAATGCTAACTGAATCCAGAAGTTAATTGGTGGATGGTGACTAACAGTGGTGGAATCTAGGATACGCATTTCGTCCTATTTGGGACTCGTCAACTGAATGCACCTGCATTCCGCAGTGAGTGATGATGTTCCCACAGAGACTCGAACACCAAAGCGTTATCCACTAGACCCCTTCAGCCACGACGGCCACCTCTTGTGCAATGGATCATATTCATTATTTAATTCATCACTTAGTGCGGAATGTAGGTACACCCAGGTGACGAGTCCCGAATAAGACGAAATGCGCATCCTGGATTCCACCACTGCTAGTCACCATCCACCAATTAACTTGTAATTACATAACCAGACATCGTCGAAGCATCTGTAGAAGAAGCCGACATGTCAACCTGAGACCGAGCACTTCGGGTGCAATCAATCGACGGGAAAATCTAATCGAATTAAATAAATGAATCCACATTGTAGGTTTCATAGAGAGGTATCACTATACAAAATTTATTGAAATAAATTTCTTTTACTTTGGAAAAAACAGATTGCATGAAAATTCTATCCAGCAAGTCCTGGATAGCTGTCGCTTCCTAGTCTAGTACTTTTTGCAACCATACACTCACCGATTTCAAAACCAGGACCTTTTAGATAGAAGGCAAGCTTGTAGACCATTCAGTCACTGGTACCCGACCACTCAGTGGCTAGCCGATGAATTCTAACTTCCACCAATTCGTGATTTCAGAGCAACAGGCATCAGACAATGTCATCAGCAAGCATTTGTCCTCTTGTGATGTTCCATAATCTATTTGTTCCTAAATTCAGGCAAAATTGATGGTATATCCCATGAGACTGGAATCAGGTATCCACAATTTGGTTACTGAATACTCTTTCAAGTGTTGGTTTGTAGGGATTTATGATTGGTTACAGGATTTCATCATGAGCTGACATCAGTTAGAGAACCATTGTAAAACCTGGGAGTACTGGACAGCTGTTTCGTCCTAGTTTGGGACTCCCAAACTAGGACGAAACAGCTGTCTAGTACTGTCTAGTGGTTTTCCAAAGCTTTTCTAACTGATATCACTTCGTGATCAACCCTGTTAATCAAGCTTGGTATCTCTATTCCCCTAGTGCATAAGTAATATATCTTTTTTGGGAGGGAGAGGGAGATTATGTTTTACAGAAATTTTCTTTAACAAACTTTTCAAAAATCCTATTAATCATATTTTCTTTCTAGAATGGCATTCATGGAGTAGTTGTACACCGAAATGTGGACAAACACGTTATCAATATCGTTTACGTTCATGTGATAGTGATATTGGATGTCGAGGAAGCGCTAAACAATCTCAACGTTGTCCACCACTGGAATGTCCTGAAATCGCGTCAACTAAACGTACTGATGTCTCAATTCAATATGAGGAAATTCATCATCATCATCAACAGCATTATGATGACGATAATTATAATCATATATTAAATTCAAGTTATCTTTCAGCTTGGTTTTTAGGCTTTCTAATACCTGTAGAAATTATATTGATTATATTCGGTGTTATATTATTAGAAAAGTGTATCCTTAAGAGATCGTCATCTTCACACTAATAATAATAATAATATAATCTACGGGTCGATTTGTGTGTGTTCAGTGGTATCAATGTGTTTATTGTTTTAATCAGTTAATTTGATATTTTGAATACATTATTTTAAAGGCATTCACTTTGAATTTCTTTTCTTCTTCAAAATACACCCAAATGACAGAAATATTTTTCAAGAGTTGATTTGTAAGAATTTGATTTGTTTTTCAAGTTTGACTACGGATTGATATCAGTTAGAGAACCATTGGAAAACTACGAGGTACTACTTGACAGCTATATCTTCTCAATTTTCGTAAGTACACACCCACCAGCTTAGAAACCAGAACCTTCCGGATATAAGACAAGCTCGTAGACCATTCAGCCACTGGGACCTAACTCAATGACCAGTCCATGAATTCTAAGATCTGCCAATTCGTGATTTTAGCACGACTGGCACCAGACAATGTCATCGGCGAGCATTCACCCTCACTACCCACTGGACGGACCCCACTGGTCACGACTTCTCACCAGAACTCCAGGAAACTTCGTCCTGTTACCAGTCACTAGTGAACATCAGATTAATTTTTCAAGAGTTGATTTGTGGGAATTTGATTTGTTTTTGTGTTGGGCCACTGTGTTGGGTTCCAGTGGTTAAATGATCTATGAGCTTGCGTTGCAACTGGAAGGTTCTGACTTCAAACCTCTCTTCAGTGGGTGCGTACTGCCGATGAGTCCCAAACTGGGCATAAGAAACAGCTGTCCAGTACTTCCTGGAGGTTTTCCAATTGTTCCTTAACTGATATCAATCCGTGATCAAACTTAAGAGAAATATTTGCTTTTGCTATAGTTCATACACTTGATCTCCCATGATCAACTTGAGCAAAGCAAACAAACAAAAGGAACAGATTGATGAATAGGATAAAATGACTTCCTTTTAACTTCATCTCTTCTTTCCAACTACTACATACACCTAAAGACAAATTTAATAGCAATGCCATGCAAAATATTCAAAGACTTTAGTCATCATTGATCACAAAGTTGATGGATGATTAAATAGCGTAATAGAAAGGATAAATGCAAGATCAGTAGTATATACTTTTAAGTATTTATGCTTGGCTTCTCGATTAGCATTTATGCTATAAAGCAGATCACATATTGTGGTGATCTGAATGACTTTGGTTTCCAAAGGAAGGAATTTCTCGTGAAATTCCACCTCCTCGATCTGTGGTGTAGATTGCCAATTGCTGATTAATTAATCTAGCGAAAATATTCATTCATATATCTATAAAACACAAAATAATTGAGCAAAGAATATCCTTTGCGATAAATTCTTCTTCTAGCTCTACAATTACATATATATGTTTATATACGTCGAATATTCTAGATTAGTAGTCAATAACAATATTAGTGTTTTTTAAATAATATCGATTTGTAAAGTAAGATGACGATGGAATTAAAGTTCATTAAAGATGCTTAAATTGTAATAATAATAATAATAAAGATATAGTAGCAAATAGGATATCAACTGAAATTAGGGAAATTACACAAAAATTCCGGATTATTCAAACCTGGATGGCCAAGGTAATGATAATGACTTAACTAACTTCTTTTGGATGCATAAATTAGGCTTATTAATATGGATCCCAACAGCCAGCCTCAGCAATATTTAGTAATCGAACTCTTATGGCGAAGTTAAGATTTGTTAGTATGCGGTAAATTACCCTGAAAGCATGGTTAATGTCAATCTTGTCTTCTGTACCCACAAGATAAGATAGAATAGCGCTGCGAACAGATTTTGTTTGTCCTTTGCTTAACTAACCACAGAGGGTGATGTTCGGAAATTTGACGAGAAACATGCCTAATTGTACGGCCTATGTAACTGGCTCACTCCACAGGAGCAGATAAATTGGTAGATACACATGGAAGAGGCAAAATTAGGCAGTTTATCTTTTACTTCCGAACACAAAATACTGGTGGGTGGTTTTGAAGACACAGCGTAATTCGGTAGCAGGGAATGCTCTTTTCACCACATTTCTAAGGCGTTGTGTTAGTATCTCGCTGATGCTGCCCGCAAGGAACTGCATTTGTAAGAATAAGGCCTTTTTAGGAACTGTTGGTACTTTGGGCTGCCTTGATTTTAGATTCATATTCTTATCAATATACCTATCTGGATAACCATTTTCACTCAGCAACCGTTTAATATTATTAAGTTCCTCATCAAGACATTCATCCAAGCTAATTGCTCTTGCTCTGTGAACTACGCACTTTATCAGATTGCATTTGTATTTCAAGGATAACGGAGCTGAAAAATGAGTATCCTAACCCATTGATGTAGGTTTTGTACATACACTTCTTCGTATTGTGCCATCCTCTTTTCTGGTCATAAGGATGTCTAGAAATGAAATACTAGAGTCTTTTTGTTTCTTAATAATTAATTAATCTGCAAATGGCGAATTCGATATAAAGTGTTAGCAGTCGATTGCTTTCACCTGATTCGGCTCTCTTCTCGGCGAATTCATTCACACTTAGCTGTACAGTCGCAATTAAATATAATTACTTTTTCTATATTTGTGTGTACATTAGCTTTGTCAGGCGAGGATAAAAACTAGTTAGGGTTGTTGTTTACGTCATCAAAATATTCCCAAAAAATGTGATGAATAATCAAAATAGGTGGGGAAGGGGAGATTCGTAAGAGGTTAGTGGTGATGATTTGTCAAAAAGCATAACTGTTAATATTATTCAGTGCGTAAGACTAGTTGAGTAATAAGATGAATAATTTGATGAGTGAGTTTTGATTAAGATGTACATTGAAACGGAGGAAAGTATGGAATTATGTGACAGTTGTAAGGAAATACAAGAGTTATAAGGAGTTAGAAAAAAAGCAAGCGCATAGACGTCAAGTCGGTAGAAATCAACATGGTTGTTGTCATGACAGTAGAGGTAGAAGTGGTTGAATTACCTCCTCCTGTATACCATAACTCTGGTTTCTCCAACTGATTGGCTAAGGCTTCAGCAATACAAAGGAGACAAAAGCGTATTGTCTTTGGTAGGTTGTCCTTCACTTTGTAGATCATTCTGACGGAGGCGTTTGTTGAGATTGAATGGTTAGTGCTACCAGGGTGTTTAATGATTGCACTCTTTATAGAGCCACTACTATCTGTTTCTAGGCATGTGGAATAGGGTCCTCAAATCTTTTTCAACAGAACACGTGTCGAACGACCAATGTACCTGGCTATACAGCAACAAGTGAACTTATATATGCACATAGAGGTGGTCAGATGCCAGATCTTTTCCTCCAAACTTCTGCGAACCAAAGGACGATTGGAGAACACAACACTTGACGTTGCTGCGAAAAATATTCTTCTGAAAGATGCTGAAATTCTTCCCTTAAGGATATCGCAGGCTCAGTCTCCCTTGGAATCCAGATTCATGTAAAGTTTCTTATTTGGAATAAGTAACGTTTCGTTCCTCTGAACGTTCGGTCTGATATTCTTGTCTGTGAAGCATGGTGACTATCTATTTTGGATGAAGGTTTCTTTCAGAAGATTCACTTCTGCTTCCTGGCCATCAGGACTGCAGATGCGCTGGATCCGAGGGATCCAAGGGATTTCTAATTAGATTTAGTATCCGCTCAATAGGTACCAAAGAGTTTGCATGAATGTTTCCTTACAGGCTCCAGAATATCAGCTAGTGTACACACATACACACAAAACAGAATAATTATATATGCTTGAGGTTGTACAGCTAAGTATGAACGAATTCGCCGCCAAGAAGAGACTCTTCACTGAACAACGTGTTCTGTTTTCATTAATGTATGGCTGAGGATTAATCATCAATACGATTGTACAACTGTTGGAAACGATACATCGGAAAGAAAATATTCTTCACTGCTTACATCTTCTTTTTTTATGACTCAGATAATTTAGTTGAATGGAGGTCAGAAAAAGGTTAGGTCAGAAGTATAGATAAAGACAAAATTTGTTTTTGTTTTTTTTCCTTCACGCTCCTCAGTGGAACATAGGGCTTCAAGCTAGTGGCTTGAAGTTTCTGTAACAGTGTTTATTTTACAGGTCAGGGTTGCTAGCCTCATGCCCAACCTTTCCTCTTCACCAGCATTATTTCTGGCTTAGCGAGGTAAAGGAGTGCGTCGGCCGGAGATCGAACCCCGGATCATGTGCATGGTCCTACAGTCCTACAGAAGTTCAATCGTGAGCCCGAATAGCTCACTGGTAACGTCACTGTCTGACTGCAGAACTCGGTGACGCGAGTTCAAATCTTAGGAGGGAAATGAGTCCCCTCAAGGTTTCAGATACGCCTTGATGACTGGTGAATGCCAACTAGCACAAAACCTACGTTGAAGGCTTCCCACCGATTGCCTCCCAGCTCTTCCAATGGTCCTCTAACCAATGTCAGTTCATGATGAAATCCTGAAAACTAAGTAGTCAAACAGAACTAGATCTAGCATATAATGCAGCTAAGTTGGTTCCCATTTATCGGACAAAATGCCCTTTGGTGCAATCAGACGTCAACAGATATCCTTCTCATGTTAAGTCCAGCTGTGTATACAAACTTACGTGTATTTGCGGAGCAGTTACATTGGGAGAACAGAAAGAAAAGCCCACCTCCGATTTTCTGAACATGTACCAAAAAGCCCACGCATCAAGGGAACAAACGCTTACATTGTTGCTATTACCAGGAATCCCTTTGATACGGGTTCTTTAGAATTATCAATAGACGAAAAAGCTGAATTCTTCTCAAGTTTGCCGAAGCAATCTCTATCAAACATCTGGAAACCGATTTACGTGTTAAGAAAGAAGCAGTTATCAGTCTTTCCTTGCCGAACCTGATAAGTTGGAGTCTACAAATCTTGGTGGGTAGCCATTTTGTATGAAGATTTTCTTGACGTTGAGCTTACAAGGAGAGCTGATGGAACTTTAAGAAGGTCCATCCATAGGAAACCCACATGGAACGGTCAACTGACAAGCTTCTACAGCTGGGTACCAATCAGTCGGAAAAGAAACCCAATTA